AACTTATCATTGCTATCCAAAATATTCGAGAAACTCGTGCACAGGAGACTATATTCATTTATAATGTCACAAAACATACTCAACCCCTGCCAATTTGGATTCAGGAAAAATAAAAGCACTAATGATGCAATTATAAAAATGCTAGACCTGCTTTACACAGCATTGGAAAATAAGGAATATCTGCTAGGAATTTTTATTGACCTAAGAAAAGCGTTTGACACAGTAGACCACGACATCCTACTCCACAAACTTGAGCACTATGGTATAAGACGCTATGCGCTTGCATATTTTAAATCCTACCTTTCTAATAGGTATCAGTATGTCACCATTAACCCTTTGACTGTTTTCGACGTATAAATACGTCTTACGAGCCAATGTTTCTGACGTATATATACTCAATAATTCTAGTGGCTTCAAATCAAGCAGGAGAAAGCTGGTAGGCCCACAGTGAGAGAATGGGTCTGTGTGGTCAGTGTGCACCACAAAAAAAAAATCCTGCAGCACACATTGCGTAATGAGAAAAAAAAAACTCTGATCGTTTTTTGGAATAAAAGCCGACTTGAGGTATATTTTTTTTTGTATAGTATTTATCATTGTATTCGCGTTTTTTCATGTCTTAGTATAAAAATGGAAAACATATTTCCGAAATAGAGATGTTTTTCATTAAATTGACGATGAAAAGACCTTGAAACAGAGCTCAAAGTAGCGGAAATGTTCGATTTTTACCAATGTTCAGGAGTAAATAAAACACCCACACGTCCAAATAACGTCAACTGGGAGTCTAATATTCTTTCACTATGCACTGATATTATTTAACCATTTTTACAATAAAGCATAACAGTAAATTTTTGTATTTTTTTTTATGAATAAAAAATCAAAATAGAAAGCAATAATAATATAAGAGGGGCCTAGAGATGTGACTAATGAACAGAGCATATGTTATTTTAGTGCCACGAATGTCTACCTTGTTTATTCTGGACCTATTTTGAAATTGGCATCTTTTTTAGTTTGCATGAAATTGGCCAAATTGCCAATTTCTGACCACCATATTGGGTAGTCCAAATTAGTAAATGGGAGGTTTCTTGTACTCAGCTGATAGATAAAATGGAGTTCTAAAGAAATAGCTATGAGTTTGGTCAACTGGAACAATGGAATTGGCTGAAAATAGGGCTCAAAGTCGGCGAAATCGCCGATACGTATATGTCGCCGAGACCGTTAAATTCGCGGGAGCATAATTCCATGAGTTTTCGACCAAATTTCGAACTTTTGGTGTCATTACCATCGGGAAAAGATTCTCTATCATTTCCTAAGAAAAAACATTTTTTTTTTTTCAAAAATTGAGCAACATAGAATGACAGTTTCAGAAAGGGGCCTGAAACAGTCAAAGGGTTAAAGACACAGCCTCATCAATACGGCCACTTGATACTGGAGTTCCACAGGGAAGTGTCCTTGGACCCCTGCTCTTCCTCATTTACATCAATGATCTTCCAAACATATCCCAACACCTGAAACCCATTCTCTTTGCTGATGACACAACTTATGTCATCTCCCACCCTAATCTTGCCACCCTCAACACCATTGTTAATGAGGAGCTGCTCAAAATATTGACTTGGATGACAGCCAATAAACTTACACTTAACACTGGCAAAACCTACTATATTATGTTTGGTAGCAGAGCAGGTGTTGCGCAACTTAACATTAAGATCGACAACACTCTAATTGCCAGACATAATGAGGGCAAATTCCTTGGGCCTATACCTCGCCCAACAACCTAAATTTCAGCACCCATACCAACACATAACAAAAAAAGTATCCAAAACGGTGGGGATCCTCCCAGAAAACGTACTACTATTGCAAACGCCCTTATCACACTTTTACCATTCACTTATATACCATACCTCACCTATGCTATCTGGGGCTTGGGGTTCAACTGCAGCAACACACTTAAAGCCAATAATAACCCACAAAAAGCCGCAGTAAGAATAATCACAAAAATCCCATCCCTGGCAACACCCCCCCCCCCCACTCTTCATAGATCTAAACTTACTCCCTGTTCAGAAACATCCACACTTACTACTGTGCAATCTATATCTACAGGACCTTAAAATTCCAATATTAACCTTGACCTAAAATGCTTTTTTGATAGTTGTGACAGGATCCACAGGCATAACACCAGACACAAACATCTCTATGACATTCCCCGTGCTCGACTAAACCTTTACAAAAATTCAATGTACTGTATTTCAAAGGACCTAAAATCCTAAAAACCCTACCTGAAAACTCTAGAACTGCAGACACATTCATCACTTTCAAAACTACAGTTAGAAAACATCTTATATCCCTGATCCACCCTGACAACTAACACATGATAACCACCTGGTGGTTCAAAATTACACTCACTCACCCACTGACTAAAAAACCCAGAAATTACTAATCTTAATCTTAAAATAATAAATCCTAACTATCCCTAAGTTTTTTCCTAGATATTCAAATATAGACACCTTGTATTGTGCCAAAACAAAAACATTCACATTGCTAAAATCACAAATTATGATGTTTGTAACTTAGCCTTAATACCATAAACTGTAAGGATTTAATGTTAAGAATTAATCTAAGTCTGCTGGAAAAAGCCCAGCCAGCTAGGGTCCTAGTGGCTCCCTCTGTAATTAGTATTTATAACATGTAAACCACAAAATACCCAAAACCTGTAAACCCCACATTGTAACCATTATAGAGAATAAACTTGAATTGAATACAGTTTTTATAGATTATCACAGCAGCACATATGTAGCTCTAGTTGCCTGGACCAATAACATTCAACATCAAGCATCCCCTTCCCTTCCTTGATGGAATTAATATAAAATATAAACAACACAAGACTTAACCCTTTGAGACAAGTCTGCCCTTTTTATTTTCTAACTGTAGCCATAAATATGGATTCTGTAGTCTTTGAAGTTTCTGTACTTTGACTGTGGGAAGTGTAAGTCTTAAACGGCTTGTAACTTTCTGATATTCAGACTATTAGGAAATTAAGTGCTACAAGAATAGGGTTTTTATTGGCAGGGCATTGGAATCCAGTGAGAGGGAAGACAATTTTGTGATTTGTCGGGGAATGTCTTCTTCCGAGAATGTATCTTGTGATGGAAGTCGGCGAATTTCCCTACTTTGTTTGTTTTCATGTTAGTTTGCGTCATCTGTGCAAAGTTTAGCTTATGGTGAACTTGATATTACTTATCACATTGATGAGGAGGGATCTGACAAATATTGCTTTTCAATACTGTCACTTGTATTTGCTACAGGCAAGTTCCTGTTTACCCAGACTATCAACTTCACCAATAGCAGATCCATTTGCCTTGTTCATCAAGAAAAGAACCAAATCATATACAGTTAGAATTTGGGCTCTTTGACTCTCCTGCAGATCTAGTTGAGACCCGCCGTATTTTAAGTTGTGTTCCAGTTTGAATCTTCAATGACATGTCCTTGAAATCAGCTATCCATGATTTTGGTACCCAAAATGTTCAAAATCTCTTTAGCACAGGACTGAGATTTTGTTTGTATAAATTTAGTAGGCATTTGGAATTTATCTTTGGAGCATCCCGGTAAGCAGTTTTCTAGGGCTTTAGAATGAAATATTCGGAAGTTTGTACCACTTATTTGCTTTTTGAAATTGCCAATAAAATTACTTTTTGCATGGAGGATACTTGCAGCCTTTTTAGTATTAAGACACTTGTCATTTATTGCATAAATACATTTTGCTGGAACTTCCACATCACCATAAACATCAGTGGATTGAACAGTCATCTTTGTGTGCTCTTTTTCCCTTTTAATATTAGTTTCTACTTTCCTACTGGTTTTTCCCTTTCCCTTTCTTTTGTGTGTGACATTATGATTGTGAATCACTATCACTGCTACTGTCTGAAGAGTCTTCATCACAAGAGGTTTCACTTCCACTGCCATTCTCATCAGAATTTGTGGCTTCTTTTTTCTTCTCAATTTTTTAAATTTCCAGATGACACAGACGAAAGCTGATCATCATTTTCTTTGCGAATAGATGACAAGATGTTCAACAGAATGTCACGTTGGCTCTCATTTGGGGGAAAAGCCATAACGTTTTAAATTCTTTTACAATGGCCCTTGAAGACGTCATGAATTGAATGAGCAATTTTGAAATAAGCATTTTTCCACCATTAATTAAATATTCTTTACAAAGTGTTTAAAACGGGCTGCATCCTTCATTCTTCATACAGCCCTCTTTCTAAATTTTAATACTCACTATTTGTAGTGAAACATTTCCTTTGCATACCTTCCTCATAAGATGATATAAATTTATTTGTTTAATCACGTCTAAATATAGTTTTGAGAGAATGGCACTGTTGTGATCAGTATCCCACTTATGTCCATACCGGCACTTCACACCAGCCTCACAAAATCCTATTACAAAGAACTGCACATGTGAAAATCACTGCAAGATTTAAGAGCAAGGCAACCATTTGCAGTAAAGTATTCTGAACACAATCTTATTTGGGAACAAGCTCAACTGCTATGCCATCCCAAACACCCATGTATGAAAATTGTCCTTATGAGACTTGACAACTCTCATAATCTCTCTACGCTTCTCTGCACTTGCTTACTGAGGGTTTCCACTGTACTCCATTGTCCATTAAAGTGGGGCAATATTTTTACCCAAATTTTGCAGGTGATAACACTGAATATGACCCATCTTTTTGAGAATCATCTTGCAAATCTTGATTCTTCTTGGGACCATATTCTTTCTTTGTTGTTTGGGAAAGAAATTGTCCTCATAAATATCCATTAGAGGTGGAGCAGATGGGGTTTTTCTATTTTTAATTCTCTCCTACTGATTCTTCATATGAAGGTGGAGGACTTGGGTTACAATGTTGCCTGTCTTACTTTCATGCCAAGGAGGGGGGGCCCCCATTGGGGATGTTTTATAATTTTGGCCTTCTGAGTTCTGATAACTGAAGAGCTTTTATTTTTACCCCAATTTTGAGTAGCAGGGTGGAAGTTTTCCTGAGATATGACTTGTGGGTGATAGTCTGCACGTTTATGAGTTCTGTAATGTGAATTTTCTGAGTTCCAAGAGTGTGGCTGATAATGTGGAGGTCTTTCATTCAGTGGTGGACAATAGGACGGACTTGGACTATGATTATATCTATTTCTTTCCAAGGGTTGCCCAGGACCATGATTGCCTTGTCTCTGCTGCTGTGGCAATTCATTTTGACAACCAAAATAATTTCCTCTTCCTCCTCTTCTACTAAATCCTCGATGTGATTGCCGCTGGTTACTGCTTCTATTGAACTGTTGATTACCTTCACAACTTAAGTTCATCATGGACTGGCTTCCTCTTTTGTTCTAAAAAAAAAGTTGAAAAGAATTTTATTTATATTTGTATTAAAAACTGTATAGAAACATTATAAAATAATTTTATCAGGTTTCCAATATACAATACAGTATAGTATAGTAATAAAAGAGATAAGCATTCAGTGTGAAAAATAAATATGTGAATTTTGGAGAAAATTTGACCTAATTTTTTCTTCAATGTAAGAGTGCAAGATTAAAATTTATCCAGCAGAAAAAAACACTGATAAATGGACACTTTGTAACATTTGGGATCATTATTTTAGAAATGTTTTGCCAGTTCTGGCTTTTTCAGCCCAATGTGAAGAAAAGTGGAAGTGAAAGGAGTAGAGGTAATCATCCCTCACCCTGGTGTGTGGTTTTGGGCAAAAGATGGGTCATAAAATTTGAATAACCCCAAGTAACACAAAGAGACTGCACTCATCTTTTGATGCTGCAGTCGAACCACTGTCTTCGAACTGTCCATCAAGTACCCACCAGGCTGTGGGAAAGGTATGTACGAAGATTAGTACATGCCTAAGATTACATGCCACTGGTTTGTCTGAAAGGCAGATTTATGGTTGTGGGCATTGCCTGTGATCAGCATTGATTTGGGTAGTTATCAAAACAGCCCTTAAACCTTTCTGTGCGCTAAGGTGAATGAGGGGCCTGATAAAGACTTACAGGAGTGTTTGTAGCTTTATCACTTATAATGCTGAATCATTGACTTGGATCAAGAGGTAAGATGCTGCTGGAAGCCTCACTTCGTGGCTGGGCGTCGCTGATGGCTATACTCAAATTAGTCCTATAATCTTCAGGCAGGAAGGATGTCTGGCATTAGTGCGCAGAGCGAAAGTTAGTTATCTCTTCTTCTAATCTTACTGGGATTGGGCAGTGCATGACGTGGAAAAGTACTCGAAACGGTCAGAATATGTTTTAAGTTTCAACACAAGATGGCACAGTGCCCGGGTCTTTGCCCTCCTTTTTCGTCTAATTACCCAGCCTTGCACCCCCTTCAAGGATGTCTATTGACATATGTTTAAGACGTGGGTGCTAGTATTTGCTACCGAACACAATCAAAGATTACTGTTTCTTGAGTTTTAAATGAGGGCTGAGGGAATAATTTTTCCTAACTATATATTCAAGTTTGAGGCAAATTATTCTAAAATTTTTTAATGGTCTGGGAAACAGCATTCCCCCGACAACCAAAACAAGTGTACAATCAAGCAGAAATTCCGTAAGGGGGAAAAGGGGTTTAAACTTGTGTACATTCAAGCAGAAACTCTTGTAAGGAGAGAAATGGTCTTGTGATGCCATAGTACCATATTTATCTGATCTATGATCAATTTGCAATCTTGCTTAGTAATGGACACATGAAGCTGAGCTGTTGTTTGTCATACATATTCAATCTTCGTATCCAGATGTCAGAATGATTAACAGATCATAGCTACCTTTACAGAGAGTGTCTGCCCCAGGGGCATCACTTGCACCAGGGGGCATGTCTTTTCCCATTTTGTGTCACTCACTGAGATTTGGAGAAAAATTGTCCACGCCTGGAGCTGATGTGTTCAATCCATCAAGACTGATGGACTGAAGACATCAAGACTGATGGACTGGCAAAACATTTCCAGAATAATGATAACTAAATGTTGCACAAGTGTTTCATTTATCAGAAAAAGGTAAGTTTATCAGTGCCCCTTCCCTATTATTTTTTATTAACACACTGGCCATTTTCCCCCAAGGCAGGATGACCTGAAAAAGAAGAAACACTTTCACCATCATTCACTCCATCACTGTCTTGCCAGAGGCACATGCCTACACCACATTTATAAAACTGCAATATCACCACCCCTTCTATCAGTCTTAGAATTGCATTTCTGCATCTTTTCATTTACAATTTACTCAAATTGAATGAATGTGTTGCCTTTCTGGGTCACCCTACCTTGGTAGATGTTCAGCGAGTGTAAACAAAATAAATGAAAATTTACATTAAAGTATAACTGAAATATATAAAATTGATCATAATGACATACCTGAACATTCTGGTTGGTTAGTCTCTGGACTGCTTCTGCCTGTGGCAACACTGAAAAATAAAAAAAGAGTAGTTAGAAAAATAAAAAAAATAAGCTAGATACAGGTCAATCACATTAGGGCATATAAGGGAGTACGTATATTCTAGTTTTCCTATTCCAATATATTGTAACTGGCAGTTTTAAAAAACAAATATGTATGTATATGTGTGTTGCTGCTGGTGGTCAGTGGACCAACAACAGCAACAGCCTGGTCGACCAGGCAAGCACCAGATGAGCCTGGCTCTGGGAGTAGAAAAACTCTTGCAACTCATCAAAGGTAAAGGTAGATAAAGATACCTATCTCTCCTATTCTTCCCATCTCCTTGGCACTCCCCTCTTCCTCTACTTCCTCTACTTCCTCTACTATTTTTGCCTATCATATTCCAACAATACCACCAGTCCGATAACATTCTTCTTTGCAAATATACAGGGTCTAAAGCCAGCAACAAACAACAAAATACCTTTCATCCGTGGACTGCTTGCAGAGGCAAAGGCAATGTTCGCGGCTTTCACTGAGACCCACATAAAGGATCACTTGGACAACGAAATATGGATCCCAGGTTACAACCTATACAGATGTGACAGAGTGAACAGGCAAAAGGGGGGGGTTGGCCTGTACATTGCAGAGTCAAATTGTTTGCACAGAACTGATAAATGCCTCAAATGATTGTAGTGGAAAGTTTTTGGGGCACAAGTTAAGGTCGAGAACCCAAATAAACCTTCCAGTCATTGTGATAGTCTACAAGCCTCCGGATGCAACTCCCAGCAATTCCAGGAAACAGCTGCTTAAAAATTGACCACTGTCTGGAAAAACCTTCCAGCTCCTGCTCCCAAAAATATTGCTCCTGGGGGATTTCACTTAAGGCAATAAAATGGCGGATATATATAGCAAATAATATTGTTGCTGTAATAATCACCTGGACGGCAGATCTGATGAAAAAGCACCTCACGCGAGCTTTTAAAATCTTGCTCAAAATTCAATTTAAACCAGCAATTAATAGAGCCTTACTTAGCTGGAGAATACAATAGTCCCTCATCTTCACTAAACAATGATGATCTGATAAGAAAATATCAACCATATCATAACAATATACTCAGATCACAAAAATATGAGGTTCAGTCATGTTTGCCGGAGCCCCAGGACCGGACATTAGGAGATTTGTCACGAGGGAGCATTCACCAAATTCAACTTCAAATAACAAAAACATATGTCGGGACCAAGTAAACACAAGTCATAAACGAGATAAGCTGGGGATGATTATTCTAGCACACAGGGACCCCAACTTATGCCTTAGATAACAGATTACTCCGTAGCACTGATGTATGCACAAGGCTTTTACCTCTAAGAAAATGGAGGAGTAGATGTAAAAGAGAAGAGACAGGCGCTCCCTATACAGGCGTCGGGGAAAAGAATAACAGAGCGGCTAAAAAAAGAGGTCAATATATCTGAATAAACATGGTAGGGTGACACTGGTCAGCAAGAATGCAAAGCACGAACTTAAAGCTAAAAGAATCCTTTAGGAGGCAGGAATCGCGGGAAGAAACTAAAGCCATAAATGTAAATCGAAAGAAACCCATAAGTATTTCTTCTCCTATGCAAATCAAAATCGAGAAAACGTCCAGTATGGGCCCCTACTTTAAAACAAGATGGGTCTACACAGATGTCAACAAAGGAAATGAGTGTGCTAATCAAGTCCAATATGACTCAGTTTTTGCATCGCTAACCAGACTGAGAGTCGATGATCAAAATGAATTTTTTATGAGAGAGCCACAAATTTGTTAACCACAAGCCCATTCTGATGTTATCCTGCACGCCAAATGACTTCGAACAGGCGATAAATGACATGCCATGCACTCTTGCCCCAGGGCCAGACTCATGGGAACTCAGTGTTCATCAAGAACTGCAAGAAGCCCCTTTCACGAGCATTTTCCATCCTATGAGGGGAGCATGGACACGGGGGTTCGTCCCACAGTTACTAAAATAACAAAAGACATAAGCACCCACTTCCACAAAGGGGGCAGTTAAAAAGCAACAGCAAATAACTACAGGACCAATAGCACTAACATCCATTTCATAAAATCTTTGATAGGGGTCCTAAGAAGCCAAGATCCACGCATCTAGAAACCATCAGTTATACACAACCCGGGCAAACATGGGTTTAGAAAACAGGTCGCTTCTGTCTGTCTCAACTATGGACCCACTACGACAAGGACCTAAATGCACTAGAAGACAAAAAGAATGACAGATGTAATATTATACAGACTTTGCCAAAAGCCTCGACAAGTGTGACCATGGCGTTATAGCGCTCAAAATGAGTGCTAAAGGAAATAACAGGAAAAGTCGGTCGATGGATCTATATTTCCTCACTAACAGAACTCAGAGAGTAGTCGTTCAACAGAGTAAAGGTCCGAGGCTAGCTACGGTTGTGAATAAAGCTATGGTTCCACTAGGCACAGTTACTCGCTCCCATCTGTTCCTCATCCTTATATCCGGACAAAGACAAGGATGTCAGGCCTCAGCACGTGTCTTCCTATGCAGATGACACCCCCGAATCTGCATGACAGTAGTCTTCCATTGCAGACATGCCAATGTCAGGCAGACATCAACCAATCTTTCAGTGGGCTGCAGAAAACAATATGAAGTTCAACGGGAGAAATTTCAATTTACGCAGTTATGGTAAACATGAAGAAATTAAATCTTATCAGAGTACAAAACAAATTTGGCCACAAAAATTAGGAGCGAAACACCAACGTCAAAGAACCTGGGAAGTGATCATTTCGGAGGATCTCACTTCAAGGACCATAACTTTGTATCATCGCTCTCTAGGATAAAAATGACAGATGGATAATGAGAACCTTCAAAACTAGGGAAGGCTCATAGCCCATGATGACACTCTTCAGGTCACTTGTTCTATCTAGGCTGGTATATTGCTGCACAATAACAAGCATCTTTCAAGGCTAGGTGTAATTGCGACCTAGAAATTGTACAGAGTATTTCACGGCTGCGCATAACGGAGATAAAACTCTCAATTATTGGAGCGTTGATGGTTCCTAAACCTGTATTCCTGGAAGCAGGCGGGTAGAGATACTTGTTTATATTACCTGGAAAATCTAGAGGGGACTAGTACGAACTTGCAACGGAAATAAATTCACCCATACGAAAAGCAAAAGATTGGCAGACGATGCCACCATCCCCCCAATGAAAGCAGGGGAGTCACTAGCACGTTATGAGACCATACAATAAGTGTTCAGGGGCCCGAGAATGTTCAACTGCCTCCACTGCACACATTAGGTGGATTTACCAAACAGAACACCTTGGCAGTCTTCAAGCTGGCACTGGCAAGCACCTTAGTCAGTTCCGGATCAGCCGGGATTGGCTCGTATGTTGTTTGCGTGCTGCCAGCAGCAACAGCATGGTTGATAGTCTCTGACTACACCTGGTGGCCTGCGTCTCTGACGGGGCCAAGCGGGAGGCGTTGACCCCTGAACTCTCTCCAGGTAAACTCCAGGTTAAAATTCTGGTGCAATTAACCCTTTGGGACTGTTTCGGTCCGTATATTTACATGTATGTTTTACGAGCCACGTGTTTGACGTATTACTGTATATTACTCTTAAAATTCCAAAAAGCTTCAAATCATAGCAAGGTGAAAGCTGGTAGGCCAATGAAGAGGAATGGGTCTGCCACAGTCTGTGTGCACCATATAAAAAAAAATCCTGCAGCATGCAGTGCATTAATGAGAAAAAAAAAAACTACGACCGTTTTTTTAATTAAAATGCTGACTTTGTGGTCTATTTTCGTATAGTATTTATGGTTGTATCTCGTTTTCTTGGTCTCATTTGATAGAATGGAAAACATATTACTGAAATAGTGGTGATTTCATTGGTTTTACTTATGAAAAGACCTTGAAAATGGAGCTCAAGTAATGGGAGATGTTTGATTTTTGCGATGTTCAAAAGTATACAATATGATGTCAATGTCCATACTATTGTCAAATAGCCATTCCTAATATGCAGTATAAATGGGTTGAATTATTTCATACAAATTTTACAATATTGCCGTAGATCTGCCATAAATAAATCTTCTATTTTTGTTTGAACAAAAAATTCAAAACAGGAAAGCAAGAGTAATATCAGAGGGCCTGGAGAGGAAGACATGACTGATGAACAAAGAAATGTTATTTTAGAGACAGGAACGTCTGCATTGTTCATTCGGGACCCTGTTTTGAAATTGTCATATTTTTTAATTTCGTGTGAAATTTGGCCAAATTGCAAATTTATCTGACATGTTATTGGGTAGTTGAAATTGGTTTAAATGGGCAGTTTCTTGTACTTCATCAATAGAAAAATGGAGTTCTAAGAAATAGACTATGAGTCGGTGATGGTAACAATGGAATTAGCGAAAATAGGGTCTCAAAGTGGGAGAAATCGACGATTCGTATATATCGTGCTGCGGTCCGCTAACTTTGCGAGAGCGTTAATTCCTTCAGTTTTCCATCAAATTTATTCTTTTGGGCAATTTACTATTCGGAAAAAAGGATTCCTCTATCATTTCATACGATTTTTTTTTTTTTTTATTTTTTCACACAAGAGACACCTCAGGATTTGGCAGGGGCGACGATCAAGGGGTTAAAACGGGTAATCGCAAGAACACCAATCAGAGTGAGGCCCATCCAATACAGAGGGGTCAATGCCCTCATGGCTCGTTCTGTGACAAGACCTCGCATTGAGCAGGGCCTGATTCATCCAGGTGTATACTACTCGGCTGCTGTGCAAACTGATGTACAAAACCACAGCCGGCTGATCGGTTCGGACTGACTTGAGTGTCTGTCCTCCAGCACCTTCTTGATGGGCAGCATGAAGAGTCTGGTGTTTACCTGGAGAGTGTTCCGGGTGTCCAACGCCCCCGCGGGCCCGGTATGCTGTCAGGCCTCCTGGTGGATCAGAAGCCCGGATCAACCTGGCCTGTTGTTGTGTTTTTTTGACTGGCTTTTGCTGATGTGCACGCAAACCA